AAATCCTCCCAGGCCTCGAAAGGACCGCCACGCAGGCGCGTGGAGAGGTGACCCACCCACGTCTCGGGTGTGGCGCCCATGAGCTGGAGTGTGCGGGTGCCAGACTGCAGCCACCGAGACACACGTATGCCTGTACCGTCATACAAGGCAATGTCCGACAAGCGGATGAGTGGTGCGACACCGTTTTGGCGGCGAGGGGATCGAGGAGCGGAGGCCTGTGCCACGGTTGAGTAAGTCGGCGCAGGTCCTGGAGAAAGGGGCGGAGCTGACTGTGCGCCCGGGCCGCATGGGAGAGCGGCGGTGGCAACAGCGGCACGCTGCGAGGGTGCTGCGGTAGAAGAGGTCGCAGCAACCGCGGGAGTAGGAAGAAGGTAGGAAGGAGTTGTATAGGGTGCAGGGCGCGGAAAGCGAGCCTGCATGGGAGGAAGGGTAGAGGAGGTAGGGGGTGCGCCCGAAGGCGCGGCCACCTGTGAGGGTGGGGGTGGCTGAAGGCGTAAGAGGGCGAGGTTGGCCCGGAGCTGGGCAATCTCGTCCTCGAGACCTCGAACGTAGGTCGTGCGAGGGGTGGCAGGGGGAAGAGTGGAGGAAGTGGATGCACAAGCGGCGCGGGGCATCCCAGAGGGGGGAGAGCCAGGTGGCGCTGCGGTCGTGCGAAGGGCGGGGAGGAGCGGGGCACCCGGAAACGCTGAGACCATGGTAATGGGTTGTGGTCCCGTGGCCGTCGTAACCGGAATCTGGGCCGGTGTGCCCGTAGAATGAGGAAGGGCCTGACTCGTGGCGGCCGTCGAGCTAGGGGCGTGGACGGTCACCAAAATGGTCGGGTCGGGGGCGGCAGAGGAGGAAACTCCGCCGTGGCCACCCTGTCGGAAAACTGGGGACCCGGACTGAGAGCCGGGAGAAGAGAGAGGATGAGGAGAGGAAGGACGACCAGCGTCCTGGAGTTGCTGCACGCCGGCGGCAAGGGTCGCCACCTGCGCCTGTAAGGGCCCGAGGGTCGCGAGTTGCGCCTGGATGGGCGCGAGGGTCGCGAGTTGCGCCTGGAGGGGCGCGAGGGTCGCGAGTTGCGCCTGGATGGGCGCGAGGGTCGCGAGTTGCGCCTCGATGGGCGCAAGGAGGGAGGTGAGGAGGGTGTGTAGATCCCCCTGGGGCTGATGGCCCTGGTCCGCCGGCACGGGTGTGGAGCCCGATGTTGTGGTCATCGCCGTGTCGACGGCGTGTGACGCACCGTCGGCCATGGGGAGATGACGGACCGGACTGGAGGGGGCCAGAAGAGGTCCGCGTGAGCGGAGGGCGTAGGGGGAAGTCCGCGGTAGAAAGCGGCGAACGACGCTAGCAAGGCTAGCACGAGCGCCGTCAAAGGGGGAAGGGTGGTTCGGGTCCAGGGTGCCCGAAGAGGACGGGGAAGTAGGGGGGGTTTTGAAGAACCCTAGACCCTACAAAATCCCTAAGAAAACCCTAACCGAGGTTTAAGGCTAGGGTAGGGTACCGGTGACCTAATCAAGAAAGTAAAATAGCAAGCATAGGGGGAGGGGGGAGACGGGAGAAAAATAAATGAACAGCGAGATTTCGAGAGGAAATAAAATAAATAAGAAAATAAATAAATAATAAATAGTAAAAATAATTAAAAAAATAAGTAAGAAGATGTGAAGAGAAACAATATTTATTTTTTTGAAATTTTCGGCAGCATTTCCCTACCCCCCACGGGGTCAAGAATGTGCCAAGGGAAAAGGAGAGACCGAGGTGTGCACACTAGAGATGCCGCAAATAAATAAATAAAAAAGAAATTTCAGAAAATAAATAAGAAATAATAAATAAATAAATAAGTAAATAAGTGTGTGAGGAGGTGGGGAGAAATGGGTTATCTGATTTTTTTAAAATTTTGGCAGCATTTCGTTACCCCCATGGGGTCAAAGTGTGCCGAAAAGACTAAGTAAGAGAAAATCAGAAAATTTCGGCAGCACTTCGTTACCCCCATGGGGTCAAAACGTGTGTCGAAAGCAAGAAAAGGCTAACACCTAATCAGATTTAGGGTTGCCGCCAAGAATTTTCAGAATAAGTAAAAATAAATCAAAAAAATAAGAAAAGAGGGTGGGGAAGAAGATGAGAAAACTAACAACTAATCAGATTTAGGGTTGCCGTAGAGAAAATCGAATTTTTCAGAATAAATAGAAAAATAAATTAAATAAATCAGAAAATGAGAAAAGAAGGTGGGAAAG